TTTCAAGGAGTATGAGTTTAGGAAGGCAGGTCAAATATGATCATATTTCATTACATACATGAATGATATTTTCTAGATACAGAAAATATTTAAAAACTAAAATCATTCTGAAAAATAGAACGTTGTATTAATACAAATGAACCTAATGGAGTCTCTGCCTTTGATCAGTTTTCTTCAGTCAAATAAATATGATTTCTAATTTATTTCTTAAATGCCAAAGTACATTATCACTCCATCAATAAGCATAGTACCTGAGAAATTAGCAGAGAACTAACAAATGTAACAGTATAAGAGAAACTTGTTTTAATTTATTTGGAGGACTTCATTTCCTGCAGCTGTTATAATATATTCTCAACAAAAGCAATGTAAGGAAGAAAAGGTTTGGTTCACAATTCCAATAAAGGAGTTAGTCACATTTGATCCACAGTCAAGAGTAGAGAGCAATGAAATAAATCAAGCATGCCAGTTTGCCCCCCAGTTCTAGTTCTTGTTTTTTTTTAATTGTAGGGTCCTACCCATATTCCACCCCTGTTAATGGTGAGTTTTCCCAATTCATCCAAGCCAACTAAGAAAATCCCTCACCAGCCTGCCCCCAGACCAACCTACTTTAGACAATTACTCACTGGACTCCCTTCCCAGGTTATTAACAATCAAAGCTACATCACAATGTAGGAAAGAACAATTTAAATACAGTGAGCAGACAAAGTGAATCAGAGGATTGAGAGCACCAACTGGAGATGGATTGTTACCGTAATAAATTCAGTGACAATAATCACCAGATCTGTGATCAAATGAGCAACATTTCCAGCATTCTTGGTGACTCACTTATCTTAGAAGCATGAGAGTCAACCATATCCTACTGATTATATGAAATTCTGCCCCAAAATGAGAATAACTTTTTATCTGATTCATTTTTACTTAAAACCTGTTTTAGTAAGTATTCAGTTTTCCTGTGGCTTATCCAACAATCTTGGTTACTATCACAAAATCTACAGAATTTAGTATCTCTTTCACACACTTAATCATGATTAGTTTAAGCCTAAAAAATGAGGAACCCATGATATTTGCTGTTTTATGTTACATTATGGAACAAAATGGAGCACTATTTACTTGCATTGGGGAAAAATAAGCATAAGTGACACATTTGATATTATTTATGTCAAAGAAATTAGTCTCATGATCTGTTGTAGGATCCCATTCTTACACTACCATTCAGTTCCTGGGTGACCTAAGATAATGGAGGACAAAGTGTCCCCAGAAATAAGTAACTGGACTGTGACACTTTATATCTGTAATTTAGATGGTAAGATTATCTTCTGGGAGTACAAGACAGAAGAATTGGTTCTATTTAATGATATACCTATCCCCTCTAATCCTGATACCAGCTGAAAATGAATGCATACTTAGTTGTTTTGGTCTCCTATTCTTCCCAGTTATATTGTCTTTATTAACAAATTCTCATTAGCTTTATAGAAAATTAAATGTCCATATAATATCTCTGATAGCAGAGAACATTTTGGGGTCTGTATTATTTTAAATATCATGAAGGATCTTACCTGGATAAAAATGAGCATATGGCTTACCTTGATCCAGCGTTCTTCATGGTAGGAAACCAACTAGTCCAGTTACTGTCCACTTTATCACTCCATACACTCTTTCTTCACAACATCCTTCACTTCTACTCATCTTTTAATCTAACTATAGTCAAACAACATGAACATTCTGCTTCAATGCTTCCAGGGATGCCCATTATTTTCTGGCTCTGCTCACTTTTGTTGGTTTTTACTAATCCTCAACATCCATTTATTCCTCACAGATTAGGTCACAGAGAACATGTCCCCAACAACAACAAAAATAATCTCATGAAATACCTCACAGCAGAAATAATCAGTTACTTCTTGCTCTTGGTGTTTCTTTGTATTAATGATGACTGTATAAGGAAGATCCTAAAAACAAGGGCACTGGAGTCAGTCTGCATGATATTTAATTTTAGTTGTACAACTGTTAGCAAAAGAAATAGCTTAATTTTTCTGTTTTTATGTGCACGTGTATAAAATGTGATAATATCAGTATGTGTACTTCATGGAATCAAAGGTGTTCAGGTAAACATTGAGCATATTAAAAATACTCAGTAAACATTAAGCCCTAAAGAAGTATGGACTGGTGTCAAATTTTATCATTGAGATTTCTATTATGTCTGAGTCTAACAGCACAGTGTGAGAATACTATGGAGAGATTTTTACATGAAAGTTGAATATCATTCGTAAGTATAGAGTTTAATAAAAATGTGAACTCAATTACTTTCTCAGGACATCTGATAGGCAAATGTATTTGATTTAATTTGGTTTAATATCTGCCACAATACCCAACAACTATAAAGAATTTATAAGTGATAATCTTCATATTAATGCACAAAATATAGAAATGTGATGTCGGCATTGAGGAAGAGGTTATTTATTAAAAACAAACAACAACTCTGACACTTGAAAAATTTGGAAGCTTTGAAGGAGACTGGACTCTTCATGCTTGATGGCCAGGGCCATGGCTTCCTCAGAAAGAGACCAGAGGAGAACATATGGTCGAATTCATCTGTGTTTTATCTAATACAGTCAGGAGGTTTGAATTCCAATAACAATTTCTTAGGACATGGGTGAAAGAACCAAATAGTTGAAGTTGTATGTACACTATTTAGTTAATTCAAAGAATCCAGACAATGTTCTCTATATTCATTTGTATGTATGTTCAGGCAGTGCCCAACAAAACTCCCTGCATAAGCTTATAAACAAAACTAAAAATGTTTAGTATGCATAAAAAATGAAGAAGTCCCAAGAAACAAAATGATGATAAATGATTCCTTGACAGTTTTTTTTCTTGTTTGGCAGGAGATTGAATAAACTTTGGAAACTTGTCCAATCTACCATGGCAAAAATAGCAAAAGTATAAAGCTGGGGTTTAGATATTTTTTAAAAACCTTGAAGTTGTGTGCAGATAAAACAGAATATTATGTTTTAAGTCTCATGAAGTACTCTGAGGTCCAGAGGCCTTAAAGTATTTTCCAATCGAATCCTTTCCAGAAATACAATACACAGGTTGGATAAGAAACAAGTGGTTAGTCTGGGAATACTGGAATACATTCCAAGTACTCAAGGACCCTTTGTTCCTTGAGGACTTGCAAGACTACTTAATCAATTCAATGATTTGGTGTAAAAATACGAACATCAAATTAATGGTGACATGAAATGGTAGTCTATATGAGAATGGGACCAAGTACATAATACTAGTCAAAATGCATCTTATTTTTCATAGGGTTGGAGCTAATATCATTTATTTATACAGTGATTTTCAAGATGTGGATTCAAACATGGGATGGAGAAATCAACTGTCATGGAAAATGATTATCTTTCCAGGTAGTTGGGGAAAAAGGACAACCACTTTTTTCTGGTGCTAGCATTTAGTCTGATAACAGTAAGAAATGCAAGTAAATCTCACAATGAATGAATGTCCCATCTATGCGAATAGCTATTACGACATAGGCATAAGGTAAAATGACAAACAATAACACATGTTGGTGAGGAAAAGCAACAACCGCATAGTAGGAAAGCAAGTTAAAAGATGCATCCATTTTTTAAAAGAGTATTAGGTTTCTCCCAACATAAATTTACCATGTGGCCCAATAATCCCACTAAATCCCACCATCAGATTTGTAAGAATATAAAAGGGAAGTGCTAAAAAGATATCTGTACTCCTATGTTCATTTTATCATTATTTGTTACAGACTCTGGGATCAACTTAAGAGTCCATCAATGGACGAAGGGGTAATGAAATAAATCTCGTGTGCACTAATGATGTATTACTCATCCAGGCTAGAAAACAAATATTAAATATATAATACCAGTTATGGAATCTAAAAGACTTCACTGTTCCTAAACAGAGGAAAATGGAGGAACTAGAATAAGGGGTTTGGATTTGGGGAAAATGATTTTTAAAACATAAAATTTTTAGTTACATTTTGAGTAATCAGTTCAAGAATTTATTGCATAGCATGGTAACTACAGCTAGTGAGCATGTATTATATGCCAATTGGGTAATGATAATGGATTTTCAATGTTTTCATCACAAAATATGAGCAAAATAGTACATGAGTAAATTAGCTAGGTTTAATCATTCTACAATAAATACATATGTCAAAACACATTTTTATATATAAAATATGGCCATAGTTCTTTGTGTATGTAGGGCTGAAGAACATGAAGAACTATAGGCAACTGAGATAAACTGGGAGCAGGAAGGGCATACCAGCTAGTTTTCTAGTGACAAATGGTCAGTCTTAAAAACACTCACACAAGTAATACTATACAGACTAAATGGACATAGGAATAGGAAGGAAAGTGGGGAGGAATACATGAGAATATGGGAGGGTTTGGAGTAAAAAAAGGCAAGGGAGAAATGTAATTATATTAAAATCTAAAAATTAAGAAAATAAAAACTATATTTTAAAAGGCATGACTAAATTTTTCTATTATGACTATATTTAAAAAGTATCCTTAAGAAATATATATATATATATATATATATATATATATATGTATATATATATATATATATTATATGTGTGTGAAAGAAAATTAGAGAACATGCCAATACTCTTGTTAAATTACTATTTTTCCTATTTTTTGTCTTTCTGCTTAAGTTTGTCTTGCACATAGTACAACAGGACTAAATGTTGAATAGTGAACTGTAATTCTGTGTGAGAGAGTCCTCCTTTCTGGGTGAATAGTACTTCAAAGAATGGCAAATAACCACAACCAAGACTGAGCTATTTTAATGACAATGGATAAGGAGCACCTATAAACATACAAAAAATAATATTGTACAATGGTCAAATAATTTCTTCTCCTTTAAATGTCCCAATTACCATCATGGGTGAAGAATTAGCATTAAAGTTTCATGTCTTGGCATAGAAGGAATTCTAGGTCAATGGATTCAGCCATTTTAACTTCCTAATCCTCAGAAAAAGGTCCCTTCCCATGTACCACTTTTTTCAGAGCTATCTTTACTTCCTTATTTCTCAAAGTATAGATCAAAGGATTTAGCATTGGTCCTACCAGATTCATCAGAATTTGAACCACAGTTCCCAGCATGGGGTTAGGTGTGGGCTGCAGGTACACAGTGATGATGGGTCCATAGGCACAAAGGATAGCAATAAGATGGGCACTGCAGGTGGAAAAGGCACGCTGACGTCCCTCAGCTGAATGAATACTCAAAATGGAGATTGCAATTCGAGTATAGGACACAAGAATCAGGAGAAAGCAAACAAGGGATACTAGACCAACGTTAGTGAAGCTCACTCTCTTTGCTAAGGATGTATCAGCAGAGGCCAGTGGCAAGACTGCTGGTATATCACAGAAGAAGTAATCTACTTTGTTGGGTCCACAGTAAGGCAAAGTGAAGGTGAGGGAAGTCAGGATACTGGAATGGAGGCATCCTAACAGCCATGTACCCACAGCTAGAGCCACGCAGATCCTAGAGTTCATGATGACTGAGTAGCGGAGAGGGTGACAGATGGCAGCAAAGCGGTCATAGGCCATCACAGTATACAGGAAGCATTCAATGCTCCCAAGAAAATGAAAGAAAAAGAGCTGGGAGACACAGTCTTGGTAGGAGATGAGCCGGCTAAGTCCCATAAGGTAGAGTAGCATTTTTGGACAGGTCACAGAAGAGAACCCCATGTCAAAAATGGACAAGTTCCCCAGGAAAAAATACATGGGTGTGTGAAGGCGGGTGGAGGAAATAACAGCCACAAGGATAGACACATTTCCCACTAGGGTGCAGGCATAGAAAGGCAGGAATAACACAAAAAGCATAGTCTCCAGGCCCTCCGTGTGTGGGATTCCCAGAAGGATGAACTCAGTCACCACCGAGCAGTTCCTCATGTCCATGAGAGCCAACGGAAGAAGCAGAGGGGATGGAAAGTGTCTTGGCTTTGAATCAACGTGGTGCACATGATAAGGAAATAAGATGCAGTGATATTTTGGCTCTATGCTACGGAAAGACTGCTAGTGATCCAACTTAGAAAGCATTGTGAAAATGCTTGCCAACTGAATGCTTTGTTCACCAAATAGTTTTGCTGTATGGATTCCAAACGCAGATGTTTCTTGTTAAGTTAATGTCGAGAAAAGATCATGTTTGAGAAAAGAAGGACAAAGCCACATAAATATAAGCTGCTCCTGCACCATGGTGGAGAGATATCAAGCAAGCCTCAGAGTAATTTTCAAAATGTTCCCATCACTAGAGTTATTAACTACAACTTCAGCATCATTGTATTTGCAATATACTATCTATCAATAACAGTCTTATATTTTATCCCTTTGTTCTTGGTAAAGAAAACCTTGAAGCAACATATATTGATTATTACTTTACAGCTCAAAACAGGCTTATTTAATGTCAGTCACTTAATTCTCTCAGAATCTCTATGCTTCAGGTCTGGGAAAAAAGAAAGAAATACTTGAGTATTGGACAAAATAAGCAACTCTGATAATCCAGATCGATGACAGACATTGGGATCTAAATGTTTTTTGTAGATATCCATCTTCCCATTGTACAGCATCTGTGACAGAGTGTTGGAATGCTGTCCCTGTTGAACCAGACATGAGAGTCATTTGTGTTCTTGCCTCCTTAGCCAGCAATGGAAGATTAATGTTGTCTTTCTAGCTACCATGTACATGAGCATAAGCACACCTACACAAACTATGAGGTCTAGGAGTCGATTCTGTTATCTGTAATGGAAAAAAAAATAATGCCGGGCACAGAGCTAGTCCTCAAAATAAAATAACTCTGTTCGGAAAAGAACTGGATATCATTGTTTTTCTTTACAAAGACTTATATGAAAGATCATAATCTTCCTAAATAACCCTGTAAAGAAGTTGATACTATCTTCCTGTTCTTTTATTCTGTTCCACTAAATGTTTACTTGGCTCTCATGACTGAGAAATGATTGCTATTGTTCTACAAAAAATAAAACAAACAAAAACAAGCTACAAACAAGAGCTATACATATATTTATAATACCCATTTCAAAAAAGTTTTACTATCACTCATCAAATGAAAATGAAAATAAAGCTACCTAGATATAGGATTACTGAGAATTTCTATTTTATTAAGCATTTTGAATAAAGTACAAAGTCTTGTTTATAAAGAGCAATGTTAAGAATGGTATCTGTGAGCTGATGTACAAGTAAGATAGAATAAAATAGTAAGCAATAGCTAGATTGCATTTCCTCAGAGAATCATCCTGTTCATTTTGAACTCTGAGAACCTTTGTAAACAATCACTTCAAATTTTCCTCTTCTCTAGATGCATGCGGTATGAGCATATATGAACATACTGCTTACTTACATGATTCACAAAAAGGCAGTTTGCTCTTTAACCTCTTGTTCATTGGTCTTTCTGTGATTCTTACTTCACACTGAAATTAGAGATCTCAGTAGAAACCAGTGAAGCATTCTCTCCCATGCTTGCTAAAGCTCTTCTTAGCCATGGAACTGGAACAATGACACAAAATTAAATGTGCCTCTTTCCTCTGCAAAATTGTCTTCCATCAGTAACAACTTCATTATTTTCTCAGCTATGGAAACAGAAATGTTTGGAGTCCTTGGAATCTAGTGAATGCATACTATTTCATCAGGTTTCTGACCAAAAGGAGTAATCAGATGCTACTAAGAGATCCAACTAAGTACATTTGATAGTGCTTCCTCTGATGGCATCACTTTGAAATTATGTTTTTCAAAAAATAAAAAAGTAGAGTCACATCCAGGCATCCAATTTCAATGATTGACCTAGGAAAAGAGAAAAATGTAATAGCTATAACTCAGTCTAGGGCATATATAGAAATCATCCCTCAGCATAAGCATGCATTATTAAGTTGCCAACTGTCTCAGTCCATTTTAAATGTACTATCTCAAATAATTTTATCTAAGTTTTTATACTTCTTTCTATAGATTTATTTGAGTATTCCAAGGCAGTAAGCATAAATTACCTCAAATCACTAAATCATATTGGTGTTAGAGCACTGGATTAATGCTAAGTTAGGTATTAAGTATGAAATCTTGATCCAATAGAAGCAATTTTCTCATATACTAGGAAGGCTCACCACATTGCTTTCTCTCCACTCTCCCATTCCCTGTGTACCATCATCTGAGGACATGGAGATGAAACAGCTGTGTCAGATCCTTAATCCAATCCTGATGCAAGCCTTCATCTTGGATGGTTGTTTATGCCAAGTGTCAATGGCATGCCTTCATTAAAATCTATAGAGACTAAAGTAGTTCTAATTTTCTGATATTTTCTATTAGTTTGATTTTTATATGTAGCCTCAATTACTACACTTCCCAACAAACACATTTTAATTGACTTCCAAAAGCAAAAACAAAGTCAACATATGACTTTTTCCAGAATTAAGTATGTATACACATCACTCAACAAATATTAAGAAAAGATACTGCAATAAATAAGAACAATTGATATAATCTGGATATTTTTGTCTGAATTTTATTATCTTTCTTTTTCAACAAAATACAAACTTCATATCCTCAAACAACTGAACATATATAAAACATAAATTATTGAAATAGAGAACCAAAGAATTTAAAAATGCTAAAATTTAGCTATTTGAAAAGACTGAAAAATATTCCTTCATGATGAAGAACACACACATAAATAATGTGCAGAAGGAAAGCAGACAAGCATATATGTAGTAGCTACATGAGAAGTACTAAATCAAAATAATTTATCAAAATGCAACAAATATTTGTAAAAGCTAAAAAATAAACACAGAAACATGAATATTCACACAAATTACTTTCTACTCAAACTGTGCAATTACTTAATTAAAATATTAGTGAATGAAAGATATTTGTTATCTCACAGTTATATGGGTCAGATTCCAGACATTACCTAACTGGATATCAGGAGTTCTGCTAGGGAATCTTATGAGGTTACTATCAAGCTACCAGGGAACTGGGACTTCAGTTATACCTGAAGTAACCAATAGGGAAAAACTTACTTCTAAGTTTACTCTAGGGTCTAATATTCAACTGGGACCTAAGACAGAACTTCTTCCCAACATGGAGATTCTTCAAGGCAATCAACTCAAAATACTACAAGGTGGAGAACAACATCTAGATGGACAGAAAGGCACAGCTGTTTACAATCTAATATCATGGAGATATTCAATCACCGCTGCCACCTTCTATCACTAGAGCCAATATGCTAAGTCCACGTAGTAAATTATACAGGAGAAAGGATCTTAGATGTAGAGGCAGTGTAGAGCGGTAGAGGAAGTGGTGATCTTCTAAATAATTGATTACCTTGGGATAGAAAGATATTTGTATTTTTCAAAATCAAAGGGGAAACAAGTTCTTAACCTATTCAAATAGAATTCAATTCGAAATAGATTAAATATTTAAAAGTAAAAAATAAAGTCATGAAAGTTAAAGAGCCAATTAAGAGTAAAATGGTAAAATATAAAAAAAATCCCAATGAATATAAATAAAAATACAGATGTTTTCTAATAAAATTAGAAAAATTAGATAAAATGTGGGGTTTCATTTGTAGTTTTATAGACATGTGTACAGCTTAGGTACTCGGAAAAAGAAATAAAATAAATGAACATGATAGTTGTGATATATTTAACAACACTTTATAATCAAAACATGTGATGTGATGAAGATGCTTCCCTAAATCAATGTGCATCAACATGTGCTATTAAAATCTCTATTTTAATCGTGGTAATATTTTATTATTCCTATTTTAGGGATTAATCAATATGCTTCTAAAGCATACATAAGCTGTTTATCAGTTAACTTGAAAATCTATGTTGTTATGCACTGACATCAAATTTGTGTGTAAAATATAAGCTTATGTCTCCTGGGTACTCAAATGTACTTGTTCCTGCAATCTACAATGCACAGACACTACCAAACATTTTTAGTTATAGAAAATGTTTTATTTTTCTTCTTTGTGGTTAATTTTTAAATGCTTTATAATTTCTTATTTTTATAATTGTAATGAGACCAATTTTAAATTAGAAACAAGCTTCTTTTACATGTCAATCCTAGTTCCCTTTCCCTCCCCTCCTCCCCTGCCCCTTCATCCCAACCCTTTTCTGCACCACAGGGAGGGTGAGGCCTTCCATGGGGGGATCTACAAAGTCTATCATATCATTTGGAGCAGGGCCTAGAACCTCCCCCATGTGTCTAGGCTGAGAGAGTATCCTCTATGTAGAATGGGCCCCAAAGTCCATTCAAATACTAGGGATAAATACTGATCTACTACCAGAGGCCCCACAGATTGCCCAGACTTCCAAACTGACATCCTCATTGAGGTGGTCTAGAACAGTCCTATGCTGGTTTCCCAGCTATCAATCTGTGTCCAGGAACAATGCCTTGTTCAGGTCAGCTGTTTCCGTGGGTTTCTCCAACCTGGCCTTGATTGCTTTGCTCATCACTCCTCCCTCTCTGCAAGTGGATTCCGGAGTTCAGCTCAGTGTCTAGATATGGGTGCCTGATTCTACTTCCATCAGATAATGGATGAAGGCTCTAGGAAGGCATATAAGGTAGTTATCAATCTCATTATCAGAGAAGGGCATTTAATGAACCCTCTCACCTATTGCTTAGATTGGTAGTTGGGCTCAAACTTGTAGATCTCTGGGCATTTCCCTAGTGTCAGAATTCTCTTTAAACCTATAATGGCTCCCTCTATTATGGTATCTCTTTTCTTGCTCTCCTGTATTCGTCCCCTGACTAAATCTTCCTGCTCTCTCATTTCCTCCTCTCCCCTCTTCTTCTCCCCTTCTCTTTATTCTAGCTTCCTCTCCCCTCCCCCATGCTTCCAATTAGCTCAGATGATCCTGTACTTTTCTGCTTCTAAGGGACCATGTATG